AATTCTTACTAATTTTGTTAGGTGTGAAAATTACAAAGGTTTTTTTTTTAAGTTATTATATGTTAGGAGACATCAGTATTTTGGTAGAAAGACATGTTTACTTTAAAGACCCTCCCCCTTCCATGAAAAAAAAAGTAAATCAAGATTAGCCACACATTTTATCAATTGCTGAAAGGTGGTAATGATTGTCTTAAAATTTTCATAATAAAATTTTTTTGGTAAAGCAGTTGAAAAAAGATAAAATTGTCCACTAAAATGAGACATGAAAGCCCTCAGAATTAACTTATCCAGACCTACACATAAAAAATATTGTAAAATTAAAATCCATGCAGATACAATCAGCCTATGCCAGAAAAGTCAAAATACCAATGGGTAATTTTTATCTGAGTTTCAAAAAAATATATGCAATTTTAACTTCGAGTTCACGAAGAATTTCTCATAAGAGAATAATCGAAACACTGCAAGATGGTATGTCTCACAATGTCAATTAAACAGATTATGTTGTAACCATTTACTGGAACACTACACAGCAACTATGGAAAGGGGGTTATATAGCCACATATATAGTATGATTCCGTATTTGTTAATAACAACAACAAAAAAAATCTACTTGCACAAGCGTGTTCAACACACACATTTATTCATACAAACATGAAGGAGTATATACCAAAATTCAGGATATACACCAGAATGTTAAAAGAGTTACTCACTCTGGGTGGTGAGTTTGCAGAACTCTTATTCTTTACCTTTTATCAGTAGCTTTTTTTTCTACTGTGAACACCTGTGACAGATAAAGAAAACTAAGTGGTACCACAGACTGTGATCACCACATGCCCTTAAGGAAGTGCACAGACTTGTATGTTGGGTGGGGGCCTGGGGGTGGGGTGCGATGGGCAGATGGGGGACGGGACGGACATCTGAAGCATATGATTCCAAGAACTCTATGTTGCTTCTCTGGCAGTTGCCAAACTGTATTCCACAAAACAGTTCCACAAGTGTCACACAGAGAAGAGTCAATGTCCAAGTTTTCAGACACACTAGGTTAAAATCTTAATTTGTTACATTTGCTATGCATCCCCAGGAGAAAAAGATCTGGTACACTCATTCACTGAGCCATAGAACCTCTGTTTAACAACCTACATAGACTCAATAATACATCTACTGAAAAGTATTTTATGAATTCCAATGTAAAAACCTGGAAGAACAAGGATTGCTTACACCACATATTTCCATTGAGGGTCTGAAAACTGGCCTGTTTCCCTAGATTCAGATGGATTCATCTCAAAACAACCCCGTATTTATCGTATTTTTGTGGTCTCAAGCTTTAAATATAATTTTCATCTTGCTATCAGTTCATTTTAGAGCAGTGTTTTTCAAACTGGATTTCTATTCATTAGTGGGTTGAGAAATCAATGTGATAGATACAACCCACATTAAAGAATTTTTTTTTTTTTTAAGAAAACTATCAGGAACTTCCCTGGTGGTCTACTGGTAAAGAATCTGACTGCTAATGTAGGGGACATGGGTTGGACCCCTGGTCCAGGAAGATCCCTCATGCCTTAGGGCAACCAAGGCCCATGGGTCAACTGTTGAGCCCACATGACAACTACTGAAGCCCACATACCTTGGAGCCTGTGCTCTGCAACAAGAGAAGCCACCACAATGAGAAGCCCGTGCACCACAGCCAGAGAGTAGCCCCCACTTGCTGCAACTAGAGAAAGGCCTATGCACAGCAACAAAGACCCAGTGCAGCAAAAAATAGATTAACAAATTAATAATAAAAAAGAAAACTATCATGTAGTAAAGATATTTTTTATAAAACTTTTGTGTCCATATATAACCACATAAAATATATGCATGTGTGTATTGGTCACAATATAAAATACATTTATTGCTATGGGTTGCAATCAAAATATTTTGAAACTCACTGAATTAATGAGAAGAACTTATTGGTAAACAGATGAAGTCAGCATGTATTTCAAACACCTAAACCCTTCTTGTATATATTAGGTAAATTTAAAAAAAAATCAAAGCAATACAGCCACATAGATCCCCAACTTACAAACAAGTACCAAAAATCTGTTTGAATATTGCGTACCTAGAAACTATCCTAAAGGGATTAAGTTCCCAATCAGTTCACAAAAGCCAGTTTAAACAGTAGCTTACCTGTAGTATTAAGGTTATTACAAACCTAAATTTCTCCATCATATTTATTTATTTGTATCTGAGGTTCAGTGTAACTCCAAGGATACATTCTCCCTGCACCCACACCTTGGTCTGAGCACCAAGTAACTCCTCACAGCGCAGGCAAACATCCACCATTCAACATGGCTTTCCCCACATTGTGCTTAGGATCTGAGGACAGAAAGATGAGAAGCTCTAATAGCCTCAGGTAATTGAGGCAGAATATGGGGCTTTCCAAACATCTTCCTCATGTCCCCACTCTCCTTCTAGCTCAAAGGTCAAAGAAAGACATTTGTTCACCAGTGGTTGTTTTTTTCCCTTGTTTATTAATCTTTAGGAGAGACTGCCTACTAAAAAAAGAATGGTGGGAATTCCCTGGTGATCCAGTGATTACAACTCCATGCTTCCACTGCAGGGGGCACGGATTCAACCCCTGGTTGGGAAACTAAGATCCTGCAAGCCACAAGGCATGCCAAAACAAAAACAATGTTTCACTCAACTTTTCTTTCAGACCCCCAAGCTACTGGAATAAATAAATAAATACACACACACACATATATATATATCTATCTCACTGACTTTAATGCTAATAATGTGCTACCAATTAGCTGGCTGCATTTCTCAAACTGTTTAGGTATTATTCCCAGGACTTCCCTGGAGTCCAATAGTTAAAACTCCACACTTGCAACGCAGAGGATACAGATTTGATCCGTGGTTGGGGAACTAAGTAAGGTACCACATGCTGCAGGGTGCAGCCAAAAAAGAAAAGAAAATAATAAAATTCTATTACCTACAAGTTTCCATACTGAGAGAAATGTCAGTGTCTAGAGGAGCATGGCTTGTGGTGTCTCCTATTAAATTCAGAAACTCAGGGTTAAGAAGAATGGCATTCTTCAACTTGACTCTGTTCTCATCAATTTCTTTATGTCCTGGGAGATTAACAGCTATCCTGAAGAGTCACATTAACGGAAATATCAGTGAATGTTGCTCTAAGAAGCCACTCCAAATACTTGTAATACAAACACATTAGCCCCCAGCATCACTCATTTGGGCTGCCATTCCTAACAGGATTTACCCCACATGGAGGAAATCTTAACAGAGGCTCTAAATTTCCAGGTGACACCTACTAGTGTCAAGTGGGTGGTTCAGTGTATTGCTCACCCAGTACCTCTCTGGCCTTTTTTGGCTGTGCCAGCTGCCTGATCCCAATTCTCACTGGCACAGTTCCAGCAGCCTCAGGAAAGGAATGGAGGCTGCAAGAAGAGTTTTCTGAACAGCCTCAGCTTGAGAAAGACTCAGCCCAACTGGCTCCCTCTTTCATCATCACCTAAGCACATGTCCTCTGGTTTGACCACCAGGTAGGCACAGCAGTTTCAACCCGTACCACCGGCCCCATGTCCTATACCAAGACTTTTACACATCTCAGGGAAAACGACCTGCAAGAGTATGCCTCTGCAACAACTGGCACTCAATTTTTCCGGTTTGACCTCCTGCTTTTGTGAACTAGGTCAAGTGTGGGAAGTAGGAAAAGGGTTAGAAATCATTTCAGCGTATACTTTTCAGGTTCTGCCAGACAACCTTTTATTACATCAAAAAAGCAACACTAGGCACTAGATTTTGCAAAATATGTTCTGACCAACTCTCCTGAAATTAAATATGCATAACCACTGTAAGGTTTTTAATGAACAAAACAGTTAAATACAAACTTTCATATGCAAAATAGATTACTATAGAACTGGCAACCTCAGAACCAAGTACTAAATTTTCTTGCACAGATTTCAGTAAGGGTGGAATGGGGAGATGTAAATGCTAATGAGTACAAAACTTAATTTCGACTTCATATAAAGGAAGAAAAAAAACATTGAGAAAAAACAGCTTTAAATTGAACAGTATCCTTTGAAATCAACAGCTCAGGCCAGCCCTTCCCTTACATATCTGAGGCTTATACACAACCAGATTTGGGATCAAAATGAAGATTTAGGGTTTACAGTTACTTCAAATCCAGTTTTAAGAGTAGCCAAGTCTCTCATTTCCAGAAAGTACCTCATTTCCAGAAAGGGAAGTCTTTTTAGGATGACTCCGACACTCTTCTGAAGACACTTAGATAGCCAGAGTTCCTGGGCCATAGTTCCACTTTTCCATGACACCATGCCAATGCTGTAGTGTAGACTTCCTCTGAAAGGCAACCAGAGCCCTACACCACGGCACCTCTCCTGGCACTGTCAAGCCTCAAAAGAAAGAAGACCTCCTGCTTCAAGTCAGCAGTTACTGCTCTAGCTGTAGAGGCTAATTAACTCTTTCTTCCTCCCCCACTGACTTCCCTCAGGACCTTTAGCAGGGAACAGCAGCTTGATCACCATTCCTTCCAGAAATAAATAGTTCAAACAAGTAATTTAGAGTTAACTTTAAAAGAGCAGCAGAAAACAGCCACTGCCCATCATGTTTGCAAATGAGTGAATGAATACACATGAACAAACATAAAGAAAAAACAAATCATAAAATAAATTCTGCTTCCCACATTCATAGGGGTAAAAAAAATCTTTAAAAAAAAGTATTAATTAGCGTATGTTCTTGTGTGGGTTGATAGTCCAGGGCTCTGAGCAGGCACAGCCTTATAAAAAGGGTTGCAAGCAGCCCGCTGCACACCAAGTCAGGACCAGGGTGCAGAGAGAGGCCTTCATGCACTTCTGACAGCTCAGTACCTGTGAGAGAACAGAGGTGATGCAGGGACTTCTTAACCCACAATGCATGAGGTATATGGAAACGTCCGTCCATGAAAGAACCACCAGCAGCTGGAGAGACGGGGTGGGGCATTCTCACAGCAACTGCTGATGAAGGATTTCCCACACCATCTTCTTCCGGAACAGAGGCATCTGGTGCTGCAGACAATCCACAGGCAACATATTCATTACATGTGAAAGTGCCGGGGCATCAACAACCATTAGGTGTAGCATGTAAATAAAGTAGGATGATCGTGTTCTTTATGTAAGCCTTGACTGTGCTACCCCATGGTACAGATTTATAAAGCCATAAAAAAAGAAGGTTTATAATATGTATTATTGTATGTATCCTAAGCATTTTTACATATTAAGGAAAATCAAAGCAGGATGCAGAATTATACAAGAGTCCAATAACAGCTTCATAACAAAAACGTGTACCAAAAAGGGAAACAGCTAAGTGGCAGCAAAAAAAGTAACTTTTTTACTTATGTATTTTCAAACCATTCTAAAATGGACGCTTTTTGCTTTCTTATGAGAAAAACATGAACTCTATTTAAATACAGAAAAAACAAGCCTACAAGTTTCTGCTGTATCAAATGTTTTCCATTGCAAATTCTGTTCAAGTAGCAACTTCTCTCCTTCAAATGTCAAGTCAAATAATAAATAATTCCTTGTTATTTAGAGGCATCAAAAAATGAAATCCTTTGCTTAATATTCTGCTTTAACTGATAATCATCACATGGGCCAACTTTCAAAGCAACAACAAGCAAGACAAATCCAAAATCACCTATGACTCTTCTGATGAAATCAAGTCTATACTCTTGAGGTATTTCATTTTAAGTATCTGGATATACCATTTTCCTATAAACTAGTGTGGAGAGGCCTAAAAAGTTTTAACACATGGATTTGTAAATTATTTTAATAGCTCAAAACATGTAGTAAAAATACTGCACATTTATTCTTAGTAAAACTGCTGAAGTTAACCAATTGTATCAATTCAGCATGGGATCCTTAGTGCATTCTGTTCAAAAACTTGGAATGGGATTAATATTAGTCCTATTATTCAATACATACAATGTGGTAGCTATCAAAATGAGGTCTGTTAAAGCAAACTTTTTTTTTTTAAAGCAAACTATTTTTTAAAGGAGGTTGTCATTTGTTGGAAAAGACTGAGAATCCACTATTACTAACATAAATTCTCAACAGTTCCCAACATATTTGAATTTCCACTCAAATGCAGAGCTATGGAGAACCAAAAATTATCAGAACAGAAGGGAAAAGAAGCATTCATAGCTCTGTCTTAAACCTGCAGCTTAAGTTCTCAAGAGGCCTGATTTCTCCATGCTATTAAATATTCTAACATGCCTCCTTCTTTGGGTAAAACTATCATTAATACTCAAGAACCAGTCAACACTGGAGTTCAGAGATATGAAGACTGTCCCACTGGTCACCAACGACTAGGATAAAAGAGAGAATATACAGTGACAAACCTGATGTTAGCAAGAGCAGGACTACGGCCAAGGTTTACAGCAAGAATAGTAGCACAGCTACCATGATTAAGAGTTTAAAGTGATGGAGAAGGCAATGGCAACCCACTCCAGTACTCTTGCCTGGAAAATCCCATGGATGGAGGAACCTGGTAAGCTGCAGTCCATGGGGTTGCACAGAGTCGGACACGACTGAAGTGACTTAGCAGCAACAGCAGCATATTCCCAACATCACAATTCTCCCCCTTCTTACTGTTCTCAGAAACACAAGGAGTAATCTGATCCAGGACCAGGACCACCTCTCCAAATCACTGTATTTATAAAGACTTTTGGAGCTGCACTGAAACATCTGTTATAGTTAAACCAACCTGGTTTTTTTTCTTAATAAATTGAGTTCCCAAGGTACCTTATTGAAGATCTTTCAGAAAGCTCAAAAAAAAAAGAATGCTAATTCATCTCAAATACTGGATGGCTTTTCCAAAGCTCTAAGTCTTAGAATTGAAGGGAAATCATCTAGTTCCCCATTTCTATTTAGGAAGCTAAAACTCATAGAAGTTAAATAATTTCCTAAGGGCGCATGAACATGGCTGGGCTTTTAATAAAACAAGCAAGTCTTTCTGAATTAAAAAAAAAAAAAAAAAAGAGTTTAAAGTGAGCCAAGCAGAGGTAACATGCTCTGAGTTTACCTTGTTTAGTAACAAGTAAATGGATAAGCAGGGGTCTTCACTCACCTGAGTAAATGTGATAGGTTTGTCCCTAGAGATATAATCTGCATATTTACAAGTAAACATTCCACAATCACTCCCATTCAACTGTTGAGGAATCTCCTATAATTACAAAAAAAGAAGAGAGGAAGGGATGAAATTTCATCAAGTACAAACTCCTTTGACTTTTCCGAAACATTACTGTGGATAAACAGTATTTTAAAGGTAAATGTTCAATCTGGTATTATACAAACACACAGACACACACACAAACACAGTTAGTCTTTATGTGCTATAAAAAACTCAACCCACGATATGGTGTATGTGATCCTCATAGAAAATGTTTTTTAGAAGTAAAGAGAAAAGCAAAGTGAGAATTCCATCTCTCACCTCTCATATAAACCAAAGTGAAAGAAGATGTATTACCAGGAATACGAATTCTAGTCAGAACTGTTTCAGGGGAATTTATAAATATTGAAAAGAGCTAAGGGTGGCTCAATTGGAAATATGCTTACAATACAACTAACCTATTTCAACACTGCAGAGTTTGACTTCTCTTCCCTAGCAAGAAAACTAAGACTACTACTTAGTCTATCCCATCAGGAAGCTTCCATAAGCCTCTTATCCTTCTCCATCAGAGGGAGAATGTTGTAAACATTCTGAAAACCACAGACTGAAAAGACAGACTGAAAACCACAATCACAGAAAACTAATCAATCTGGTCACATGGACCACAGCCTTGTCCAACTCAATGAAACTATGAGCAATGCTGTATAGGGCCACCAAAGACGGACGGTCATGGTGGAGAGTTCTGACAAAATGTGGTCCACTGGAGAAGGGAATGGCAAACCACTTCAGTATTCTTGTCTTGAGAAGACCATTGAACAGTATGAAAAGGCAAAAAGGTAGGACACTGAAAGAGGAACTCACCAGGCCAGTAGGTGCCCAATATGCTACTGGAGATCAGTGAAGAAACAACTCCAGAAAGAATGAAGAGACAGAGTCAAAGCAAAACAACACCCAGTTGTGGATGTGACTGGTGATGGAAGTAAGGTCTGATGCTATAAAGAGCAATACTGCATAGGAACCTGGAATGTTAGGTCCATAAATCAAAGCAAATTGGAAGTGATCAAACAGGAAACGGCAAGAGTGAACATCAACATTTTAGCAATCAGCGAACTAAAATGGACTGGAATGGGTGAATTCAACTCAGATGACCATTATATCTACTATATCTGTGGGCAAGAATTCCTTAGAAGAAATGGAGTAGCCATCATAGTCAAAATACAAAAGAGTCCAAAATACAGTACTCGGATGCAGTCCCAAAAATGACAGAATGATCTCTGTTCGTTTACAAAGCAAATCATTCAATATCACAGTAATCAAAGTCTATGCCCCAACCAGTAATGCTGAAGAAGTTGAATGGTTCTATGAAGACTTACAAGACCTTCTAGAACTAACAGCCAAAAAAGATGTCCTTTTCATTATAGGGGACTGGAATGCACAAGTAGGAAGTCAAGAAACACCTGGAGTAACAGGCAAATTTGGCCTTGGAGTACAAAATGAAGCAGGCAAAGGCTAATAGAGTTTTGCCAAGAGAACACACTGGTCATAGCAAACACCCTCTTCCAACAACACAAGAGAAGACTCTACACATGGACATCACCAGATGGTCAACACCGAAATCAGACTGATTATATTCTTTGCAGCCAAAGATGGAGAAGCTCTACACAGTCAGCAAAAACAAGACTGAGAGCTGACTGTGGCTCAGATCATGAACTCCTTATTGCCAAATTCAGTCTTAAATTGAAGAAAGCAGGGAAAACCACTAGACCATTCAGGTATGACCTAAATCAAATCCCTTGTGACTATACAGTGGAAGTGAGAAATAGATTTCAGGGACTAGATCTGATAGAAAAAGTGCCTGATGAACTATGGACAGAGGTTCGTGACATTGTACAGGAGACAGGGAGCAAGACAATCCCCAAGAAAAAGAAATGCAAAAAAGCAAAATGGCTGTCTGAGGAGGCCTTACAAATAGCTGTGAAAAGGAGAGAAGAGAAAAACAAAGGAGAAAAGGAAAGATATACCTATTTGAATGCCGAGTTCCAAAGAATAGCAAGGAGAGATAGAAAGCCTTCCTCAGTGATCAATGTGAAGAAATAGAGGAAAACAAAAGAATGGGAAAGACTGGAGATCTTGTCAAGAAAATTAGAGATACCAAGGGAACATTTCATGCAAAGATGGGCTCAATAAAGGACAGAAATGGTATGAACCTAACAGAAGCAGAAGATATTAAGAAGAGGTGGCAAGAATACACAGAAGAACTATACAAAAAAGGATCTTCACAACCCAGATAATCACAATGGTGTGATCACACACCTAGAGCAAGACATCCTGGAATGTGAAGTCATGTGGGCCTTAGGAAGCATCACTATGAACAAAGCTAGTGGAGGTGATGGAATTCCAGTTGAGCTATTTCAAACCCTAAAAGATGATGCTGTGAAAGTGCTGCACTCAATATACTAGCAAATTTGGAAAACAGCAGTGGCCACAGGAATGGAAAAGGTCAGTTTTCATTCCAATCCCTAAGAAAGGCAATGCCAAAGAATGCTCAAACTACTGCACAATTGCACTCATCACACTAGTAAAGTAATGCTCAAAATTCTCCAAGCCAGGCTTCAACAGTACATGAACCGTGAACTTCCAGATGTTCAAGCTGGATTTAGAAAAGGCAGAGGAACCAGAGATCAAATCACCAACATCCGCTGGATCATCAAAAAGCAAGAAAGTTCTAGAAAAACATCTATTTCTGCTTTCTTGACTATGCCAAAGTCTCTGACTGTGTGGATCACAATAAACTGTGGAAAATTCTGAAAGAGATGGGAATACCAGACCACCTGACCTGCCTCTTGAGAAATCTGTATGCAGGTCAGGAAGCAACAGTTAGAACAGGACAAGGAACAACAGACTGGTTCCAAATAGGAAAAGGAGTACATCAAGGCTGTATATTGTCACCCTGCTTATTTAACTTCTATGCAGAGTACATCATGAGAAACGCTGGGCTCAATGAAGCACAAGCTGGAATCAAGACTGCTGGGAGAAACATCAATAACCTCAGATATGCAGATGACACCACAATTACGGCAGAAAGTGAAGAAGAACTAAAGAGCCTCTTGATGAACGTGAAAGAGGAGAATGAGAAAGTTGGCTTAAAGCTCAACATTCAGAAAACAAAGATCATGGCATCCAGTCCTATTACTTCATGGCAAACAGATGGGGAAACAGCGGAAACAGTGGCAGACTTTATTTTGGGGGGCTCCAAAACCACTGCAGATGGTGACTGCAGCCATTAAATTAAGAGACGCTTACTCCTTGGATGGAAAGTTATGATGAACCTAGACAGCATATTAAAAAGCAAAGACATTACTTTGCCAACAAAGGTCTGTCTAGTTAAGGCTATGGTTTTTCCAGTAGTCATGTATGGATGTGAGAGTTGGACTATAAAGAAAGCTGAGGGCCAAAGAATTGATGCTTTTGAACTGTGGTATTGGAGAAGACTCTTGAGAGTCCCGTGGACTGCAAGGAGATCAAACCAGTCCATCCTAAAGGAAATCAATCCTGAATATTCATTGGAAGGACTGATGCTGAAGCTGAAACGCCAACACTTTGGCCACCTGATGCGAACAGCTGACTCACTGGTAAAGACCCTGATGCTGGGAAAGACTGAAGGCAGGAGAAGGGAAAGAGAGAGGATGAGATGGTTGGATGGCATCACCGACTCAATGGACATGAGCTTGAGTAAACTCTGGGAGTTGGTGGTGGACAGGGAGGCCTGGCTTGCTGCAGTCCGTGGGGTTGCAAAGAGTCAGACACGACTGAGCGACTGGACTGAACTGAATTGCTTTGGACCACCACAGCTGCAAGCAGGAGAAAGAAAAAGCCTCTTGAAAGGCTCTAACCAATCAGGAAATCTTGCCTTAAGAGCACAGTTCTGTCCTGAAAAAACAAAAGAGCTTACTGCTTCCAAGCACAACTCAAGGGCATCATAAACCAAAGGTGCTGGATTCCAAGCCAGGTGAAGCAAACTCACACATTCCCAAATTTGTGTTGAACTAATGCTGGCCAGCCCCTTACACACTTTGTCAATTATAAGGAGCACAAGAGTATAAGCATAAGGAGAATAAGTATAAGTGAGTCTAATTCCACTGCTGGAAAACATACTAGATGACAACTCAATTTGGATTTAAGGAAATACAAAGTATTACTGTAAAAAGGAAAAGGCTGAAAATGCATACATATGGAAGGTACCTCAAACTTTTCTCCTGAGCCCAGCATCTCTCAGAATGCTGGGAACTATAGATTCCACTATACAAATGCAGAGAACTATAGATTCCACTACAAAGAATGTCTTATTACATTTTCCATTCCAGAACACAATTATTCATCCTAAAAACTCTTTTCTGTGTTCTCCTCAGGAAATTTCAATACTTACTCTTCTAATTATTCAACTTATAAATGAAACTGCTTTTGGATAAAGAGAACTGAGCCATTACACACAGATTAGGGCTAAAATTGAACTCACGTAGCTGACTTCCTGGAATGAAATTCAAATCTGACAAGATTCAAAGAACATTCACAAATAGCACGCCTGATTGTTGAGGACTCACAGCATGGAACCCTTAAGATCTAAGTATACAAATTTCTCAGATAAGTTTTGAACAGGAACTTGAAGTTCCCATTAATGCCAACCAAGAAAAGTAGCTGACTTGCATCTTTTTTTTAAAATCTTCTTCCATTTTTGAGTCATCCTATCAGATATTTAACATTTATAATTTAAGAAACAAGATCAAGGCTTAAAAGCAAATATCTTGGTTAAGTGAATTTCTAAAGATTTAGAAGTAGATCATTCTTAGGACATACACCTCAGGAGAATGAATGCATAAGGATGAATAAGGGGAGGAAGAAAGCCAAGTCAAATAATATGTTACTGACAGGAAATGCAACAAAGTATTTGAAATACAAAGATCATCACTCACATGTGGCTTCATGCTGTAGTGGGTCCACTCTAAAAGATTCAGGTCAATATTTCTTTTGGTCTTACTTTCATCCTGTAAATACTGACTGAAAAAACAGCAAAGAAATATATTGATGAATCCCTGTAGAGACCTAGTATACTAATTACAAAGACACCGTGATATTTAACAGAGAGCCATTCTCAAATCCACCTGTTAGATTTTTAAAATATGATTGTTTTTGGCTTTTTACATTTTACCTTATTTCTGATTACAAAAATTATACAAGGTTATATTTTAAAAGTTAAAACATAATATGTAAAATGTAAAAGACCTCATAATAACCACTCTGGAAATATTTTTTATTAATGATTTGCTGTTCGTTCTTCTAGTTCTCTCCTCCACTCCATTTTAAAGCACACATTTTATTCTAATGAAGAAAAAAGTACTTCATTTATAACTTACTTTTACTCACTAATAATAGATACATTAAAACAAGACAACTAGCCTGGAGGCTTTAAAAGGAAAAAAAAAAAGGCACTGCTATAGGGAAAAAAGAAAAAGGAAGGCTAGTCTAAACTAAAGGAGACTAAAGAGACATTAAGTACATGCATGAAGCCTGACTGACTTCCTGAATTAGGGAAAAGAAGCTGTAAGATATCTGATGATATCAGAACATGAATCTTATATTACACACCATGTGTGTGTATGTGTATGTGCATGTGTGCTCAGTCATGTCTAACTCTTTGTGACCCCATGGACCGAAGCTCCCCAGCTCAGTCATGCCCAACTCTTTGTGGCCCCATGGACAGGAAAAATCCCTGTCCATGGGATTTTTCCAGGCAAGAATACTGGAGTGGGGTGCCAATTTCCTTCTCCAGGGGATGTTCCCAACCCAGGAATCAAATCTGTATGTCCTACATCTCTTGCACTGGCAGGCAGCTTCTTTACCACTGCGCCACCTGGGAAGTTCATGTTACACATTAGTGACTGTCAGTTTTCTGAAATGTGATAATGGCATATGGTTATGTAAGAGAATTTCTTCATTCCTAGGTGATTATACACTAAAGTACTGAGAGTAATTAATTTTATCCAAATCGCCAGAGGGATATCAAATTTAACCTATGCATCTCTGTTCTCACGCTAACCTGCATGTAAGATACAAGTGCTACTAGGGCATGTGCTCTACAAGGGAGCAGCAGTATCACTCCCAAAGAGGTGAAAACTGGTTCTGAGAAGATAGCAATCTAAAGCTTAACCCAAAAAACAAAAAAATCTATTCATTATTTTCTCTTGTCATGGAAAAATTTTTTTAAAAATTTGGAGTGGGGAGGTGTTAATGAAAAAAAATACAAAAGCTGGACTAAAGGCATCAGGAAAGGGAGGGGGCCTCAGATGCCCAAAAAAGCTGAACTCTTTATATATTTTAAAAAAGACAGAGGGGGAACAAAAGTATGAATGTTATAAAAGTAAAGTTTTGTTGTATAATGTTATAAGGAACTCTGCTGTATGAATCCAATGAAAACATTTTTAAGTATATGATAATATATGTGTCCATGTATGTGCACCTGTATTATTTACACACATTTTACATACATCTTAAGCAGAAAAGACTAGAAGGAAATAACTGCTTTATAGACAATCTGGTGTACCTTATGATTTTTTAAATCTTCCCTATATTTTTTATTCTTATGGGTATTTTATTCAACACCTATATATAACAAGGATCTTTATTTTAAATAATATAACAAAGAACTGATTACTGTTAATGACTTTTCTTCATGTCATTCATTTAACAAGTTCCTTACTAAAGTATCCTTATTAAAACCTGGAACCTGCATTTGCTTCCAGTGACCATAAGGGGTTCAAAATACACTCATTTCACTGCTTTGCCTCCGCCCTGTGAAATTCTTATCTTATTCTTTACACAGCTAATAAGTGGCTATGCTTTAAAGGCAGGTTTCTAGCAATTATTATTGAAATACCTGCCTACAAACCATATGTTTAACTTAAAAATTACCTCTAAGAGATGAACCCAACTATCATGGAAAGCACAGGGACATGAATGAGTGGGCTTAAGAATTGACAGAACTTAAAAAAAAAAATTGACAGAACTAATTCTCCCCAGCTGACGGCTCTTTACAACATTCAGAATAGTGTATGAACCCCAGAGAAGTGAAGTGAAGTGAAATGAGGTCGCTCAGTCGTGTCTGACTCTTTGCGACCCCATGGACTGTAGCCCACCAGGCTCCTCCATCCATGGGATTCTCCAGGCAAGAATACTGAAGTGCGTTGCCATTTCCTTCTCCAGGGGATCTTCCCGACCCAGGGATCAAACCCAGGTCTCCCACATTGTAGGAATCCCAGAGAAATCTAATTCAAATTGCAGGATTCTAACAAGATATATTTTACATATGACAAATTTGTTTTCAATGATGCAACTATATAAAATTTCTCAGTAAAGATCTGATTTGGGGGTTATTTTTAGACAAAAAGACAGATGCAAGTCAAGTCCTGAACAACGGAGAAGACAGCCCTCGCTACACATTAGACTACTGTACACCGGAGCTTCCAAGGATTAAACAGAACCAACCACATAACGAAGGGCATACTGAGGCAACAGTGAAGCTTTCAGCCTTTACTTACAGGAGAATCTCACAGATCCTGTGGCCTTTTTGTCCCATAGAATCCAGATATTTAAGACACCTTTTTCTTAGGTCTATAGCCTATAATGGAAAAATGCAACATCCAGAAACAACCATAACAAGGAGAATTTTATTTCTAAAAAGAAAAGCATCTTTTAAACATCAATATATGTACCAACATGAATGGATTTCTAAGACATATTTTTCATAAAACATCACAAATGACATGAGCTCCATGCCTATAAAATTATATTTTTCTATTCCTACAGAAAGGCCTAGAAATTTATTCCTCAAAACACTAGTGGTCCTTTCAGAGTGAGGAGCTGCATTCTGGGGTGTTTTTTTTTTTTTTGCCTTTTTCTTTATACTTGTACAATAAACCTGTTATCATCTTCTAAACAAAAGTAATAAAATAACCCATGTGTACTAAAACTCTTTTCTACTAAAACTGAAAGCTCCTCCACTACAGACTCTTATAGCTTTCAAAACTGTTCAATTAAAGAACTAAGATGTGACTCTGCAGAGTATGCCTTTAACATATACTACTGGACTCTCAGTGGACAGAAAAGGGTCACCTTCATTAAAGGCACACTTCATTTCATTGTGTTTGGCAGATACTGTAGTTCTCACAAATTAAAGGTTTGTGGCAACCCTGCATTGAGTGAGTCTATCAGTGTCATTTTTCTAACACTGAAGAGTTAACAGGAAGTGTCTATTTGCTCACTTCACGTCTCTGTGTCATATCTTGGTAATTCTTCACAACATTTCAAACTTTTCATCATTACTATACTTGTTACAGTGATCTGTGAGGTGGTCTTTGATGCTACTATTGTGAAAAGATTACAACTCACTGAAGACTCACGTGATGATGGTTAGCATAAAAAGTATTTATCGATAAAGTATTTTTTAATTAAGGTATATGCATTGGTTTTTAGATATAATCCGGCTGCAGACTTAACAGACTACAGTGTAGTATAAACATAATTTTTATAAGCACTGGGAAACCAAGAAATTGATGTGACTCACTTTACTGAGATATTTACTTTACAGTGGTGGCCTGTAACCAAGCCTGGAATATTACTGAGGTATTCCTGCTTTTAACAAAACAGTCATTATCCAAACTCCAACAGTTAAGCCTCTCAACTTACCACCAGGCTCCAATGTACCTTCCGATGAATAGGCACCAGAATAAGTTCCTGTTCAAAGAGACTGACCCCTTTGGTCCATCTTTTCACTGCTTGGTAACCCCCAGACTTTAATTTCGGATAGAAGAAAGTACTGAATGCATAAAGTGCTGGATACCCTTGCCTTTTATTTCTTTCCATCAGGAGGTTCATGTAAAAATTAATGACCTATAATACCAAGAGAGTAAACATTGGAATATGGCAAGTACATTATCAAAACTCAATCTCTACCTGTAGGATGAATTAGAAATAAGACACTAAGGGAAGGGACAGAAGATAAAAGAGCTATCTATGACAGAAGATGGAAAGCAAAAAATGGTCAGTGCAAAATAGGAGGGATTAAGAAGGAATGAGACTGTACTTCTGAGGCATATGAGTAAGGGAGCCAAGAGAAAGAACTCTAGAAGAAATTCTGCAACAACTAAAAGGTGTATGTAACTATGTCACACATAAAACATGCAGAAATATTAACTGGAAGTGAATTTTACATAAATTATACCTCAATTTTTAAAAGCTCACTGGAAGGAAATACACCAATAGTTATTTTATTTGCTTTTGAGTTGTGCCATTTTTTGTTTTCACAGAAATATGTAATTTTAATCATTTTTAATTGAAATATAGTTTATTTATAATGTTTCAGATGTACAGCAAAGTGATTCAATTCTACATACAAATATTCTTTTTCAGATTCTTTTCCATTATAGATTATTACAAGAGACCTGTGCCACTTTTGAATGATAATATTGTTCCTTCACTTTTCCTATATTTTCTAATTTTTTTATAATAAACATATTGCATTTATAATATGAAACAGAAATGTTCTAATTTTACAAGAATGTGTTTATATGCCGTGAGTCATGGCAAGAGGGAAGGCAGGCAAAGGGAGAAAATGCAGGGGGCTGCATGGCTGGGTAAATGATCAACTAGAAAACTGTTAAGAATTAAGACCTAGCTTTAGCTGAATATGTAAGGATACAAGACAAGTAGGCAAATTTTTATATTTATCACTCAAATGAACTAAACATATAGTGCACACAGAATGATCAAAATATTTATTATTGAAAAAAATAAAATGGCTCCTATAAGAATTCATCTAAAATAAATGATCACTGGTCTGCTTCCTTCATCATTTGCACCCAGGGTTCATAAAAATGTCACTAATAAATGAAGATATAGATGAAACAAAGCACAGATGCAGAAAAGTGAAACACTGCTAATTAAAGGCAGTAAACAATCAGAATTAACTATCTTTTCAAAGTTTAAGATGTTTTTCTTTTAGATAAACCAAAGCTGCCTTACCAATCCCTCCTGTGTAGAAACCACGATGTTACAGATAGAAAAGAGTTAAGCATAATGATAGTCCAAGGGGTAAAAAAAAGACAACTTACTTCATCATTGAGCCAGTGATAGTTTCTCAAGGTCTGGATATCTCCTCGAGTGATTCGTAATTTGAAAGCACTACTTAGGATCTCATCCTGTGGGCCATGGCCTAGAGCATTACTGATTTCCTTTTCCATGTCCTAAATTATAAAGTCCAGAAGTTGTTACTTTATTTTTTTTAGAAGTTGTTACTTTAATAAAGAACCATTATCAAATACCGAAAGTCTGAGGTTGAAAAAAGCTTTTCGTCTCTGTAATACCTGACCCTTAAGAAAAACTATCAAAGACCTACTAAATTAAAGGATAAAAAGATTTTAATTCAGGACCACAAAGCAGTCTTACTAATGGTTATATGAATCCCAGTCCAATTATCAGCTGCTAGAAAAAGTTATTGGGTAAAAGCATTTGAAGTATAGTCTCAATTATCCTACTACCATTTATGGAGCACTATGAGCCAAACACGTACCAGATACTTGAAGTACGTCGTTAATCCCTATCTGTGGGGAAAGTACTGTCACCATTTTATAGAAGAGGTAAACCTCAGAGAATTTTGGTTACATGTGTGGTCATATGATGATTAAAAAACAGAGGCAAGATTTGAACCCAGAAGTGTCTAACTCCAGAACTTTCTTCTCCTTTCACAACACTATCAAAGCATTTTCATGCTTTCCTTAACTATTTCCTGAACCTTGATTTTAAGAAATCAAAATAATAAAATTAGGGCATCAAAGAGATCATTCTATCCATTTTTGATGTGAAGAGAATAACCAGAAACTAGAAAACTAGGCAGCAGTCTGGCAACTGAGTCCTTATTGAATAGATGGCATCATTTTTCTAAAAAATTACACAGATAAAACATAAATTTATGCTATAAGCCTGGATCTACAAACCAACTAGAAACTTTCATCCAAATATTTTCACTTCTGCTTCCTCTACCACTAAACACAATTTTGCAACTTTATGGATCTTTCTCTCCACCTGCATGCCCAATACATAATAAGTGCTCAACAGATAATCACTGAATAGCAATCTGCTAAGACAACAATGGAGAAGTCAAAATGTGGGCTCACTTTTAAAATGAGAATTTTTAACTACCTTCATTTCCTTGTTTTCTACAAGTTTTTACTTGTTTGTTGTACAATGATCAATGAAAGGGGCATTTTAGAGAACCATAATCACTTGACAAACATTGTAATGAAGGGGAGTTCCCTAGCAGTCCAGTGGTTTGAACTCAGCACTTTGACTACCAGAGTCTCAGTTCCAACCCTGGTTGAGGAACTGGTATCCTATAGGCTGTGCAGCATAGCCAAAAATAAGTAAATAAGATGTTAAAAAGACAAAAACAAAAAAACTGCAACAAATCTCTTCATAATGTCAAACTCATACTATATAACTCAAAATATTTTAAGTTAAGAAAAGAATCTACAAAGAGACCATTATATTCCAAGACATGTGACAATTCTGTCCACTCACATTTGCTGAAATTAATCTAATTCCTTAGGCCACTTTTACAGATCACTAATGATCAGTGTAGCAAGTAACTGACCCGCCCTTGGGCCTGATTTCCTTCACACATACATTCCCTAGCCTGGAGAAACTCCTCAAAAGAAAACATGCACTCAAGCCTTGAGTAACTAAGGTTATTTAAAAACATGCCCTTATTGGGTTAACACAAGAAACAATACCTCCGTGAGCTCAAGAAGGTCCTCCATCCTTTTATCCCGCTCTCTGCTTGGGCAGCCTTTTTCTTTTGCCTCAAGCACTGACACTTTCCTCCTAAGTAAGCCATTGCTTCCACTGCCCAGGCGGAGTCGGGCTGACACTTCTTCAGACAGGTCGGGTTCCAGCTGAAGTCCTCTCCTCTGGTTAAAAAAACCCCCATATTTTACAGACATGCTTCATACTTATACATATACACATACGTAACACATGAAATATAAAACAGCACCATTATTTTGAAAGAAAAGAGAATGAGTAAATCCCCAAATGAGTATAAAGTACAAAAAGCGTTATCTGCCTGTCCCTGCAAGAGGGAATAAAAACTTCAAGACCTAAGGTTCACAACAGGACACCTCAATTATAAACCATGAAACAGAACTTTCATCATTTTCCCAGGAGGTAGCAAGAAAATTTGGAGAAGGCAATGGCAACCCACTCCAGTACTCTTGCCTGGAGAATCCCATGGACGGAGGAGCCTGGTAGGCTGCCATCTATGGGGTCGCACAGAGTCAGACACAACTGAAGCGACTTAGTGGCAGCAGCAAGAAAATTATTTTCACTTCTCTTATTTCAATTAAAAATAATATAGTCAAAAGATATACTGAAAAACTTTAAAAAAGCAAAATATATGACCCATAATCCTATCACTCAAAATAAACCACAGGTAGACATCCCTGGTGATCCAGTGGTTTTAAGAATCCATCTGCCGATGTGTGGGACATGGGTTCGAATTCTGGTTCAGGAAGATCCCATATACCTCAGGGCAGCTACGCCCCTGTGAGCCACAACTACTGAAGCCCGAGCGCCCTACAGCCTTGCTCCGCAACAAGAGAAGCCATCACAATAAGAAGCCTGCACACCAGAGCACCAGAACTAGAGTAGACTCCGCTCATTGCATCTAGAGAAAGCCCACACACAGCAACGAAGACACAGCACAGCTAAAAAGAAATAATAAAAATTTTATATTAAAAAAACAAAAATAAAAATAAACCACTGCTATTTTTATACTAAGTAAACTTGTTCTTAGTATAAAAACAATGGACTGATTCAAAATTGGGAAAGGAGTATGTTAAGGCTGTATATTGTCACCCTGCTTATTTAACTTATATTCAGAATACAACATGTGAAATGCTGGGCTCGATGAAGCATAAGCTGGAATCAAGTTTTTGCAGGGAGAAATATCAATAACCTCAGTTATGCAGATGACACCACCCTTATGGCAGAAAGTAAGGGGGAACTAAAAAGCCTCTTGATGAAGGTGAAAAAGCAGACTGAAAAAGCTGGCTTAAAACTCAACATTTGTAAGATGTGTAACAGTTTCAAGTAAATATGAAATCTTAAAATCTTGAATCTGAAAAGTCCTGAATAAATATTTTCCCTAAAGATGTATGGGCTTCCTAGGTGGCGCTAGTGATAAAGAACTCGCCGGCCATGCAGGAGACATAAGAGATGCAGATTCAATCCCTGGGTCCAGAAGATCCCCTGGAGGAGGGCATGACAACCCACTCCAGTATTCCTGCCTGGAGAATCCCATGAACAGAGGAGCCTGGCGGGCTACAGTCCACGGGGTCGCAAAGAGGCAGACATGACTGAAGCAACTTAGCACACACAGCACAAAGATGTACGGTTTTAAAAAAATCTCCGAAAGAAGCCAGGCAACACAGATAAGGGCTGAGATGGAGCCAAGTTGGTCTCTCTTACAAAGGGGGCTACTGCACAGAGATAAAAATCTGGCAACTTAGAAGAAAGCCAAAGGTGTGTATCTTCAATGCTTGCTGCTTTTTCAAGCAAAATAATGGAATTAGAAATCAAATATCATCTTTCTTATTTTTCACGGGCACCAAAATTTTAATGTAAGTCACATGAAAGAAGCAAAGGCATAAAATTTAACTAAGGTTTCTACTTACACATTCATTTTCTAGTCTGATTCCAACTGTCTTTTCTGTATCAGAAATTTTCCCCTTTGAACACCTGAGGAAAAAAACTGAGAAATTACAGACTGGATGATTTTAATCTGGTACTTGTTAAACTAGATTTAGAAATAAGATTTAATAATTAGTAACAAATATTGCCTTGAGTTTATATAGTCCTCTAAACCAAAAGTTAGCAAAGTTTTTCCAAAAAGGATCAGCTCATAAATATCTTAGGCTTTGCAGGTCTTATGGTTTCTGTCATATCATCTCAACTTTGTTGTTTACAAGCAGCCATAAGTAGCATGTAAATGAATGAGTATGACTGTGTCCAATAAAAATTTACTTACAAACAGGTAGACCAGATTTGGGCCACAGTTTACCATACTCTGCTATAAATGGACCAGCATCTAAAATCCTAAGGCACATAGAACTGCCTTCACAGTTCATATACTTGAAATGCTGATCACCAGAACTACCCACCACACCCACAGTCTTATCTCAGCAGCACTCACTGATGCCTCCCAACTCCTAATGTCTAGGAGAGAAGGGCACCCTCCCAAGCTAGGTAGGGCATCTTACACAAAAGCTACCTATTTACCCACATATGCTGACTGACTGCCAGAGCTGAGGAGAATTCACAGTTTCACAGATGTGGTTACTCTTATATATAGTTTATAAAGTAAGAAAATAATGTCAGGGACTTTCCTTGCAGTCCAATGGTTAAGACTCCACGCTTCCACTGAAGGGGTCACGGGTTCAATACCTGGGTGGGGAACTAAGATCCCACAAGCCGAGCAGTGCGGCCAAAAAAAGAAAGAAAGAAAATATGTCAAAAGAAAAGTTAGAATAAACCGAACCGTGTACCTCTTTTCACTTCTCACTGAACACAGAGGTCCCCTTGTTTCAACAACTCTATCTGTGAGAACGGTAAAAAAAAAAAAAAGTGTTTCCTTTGTTAATCAATCTTATAGCTAGCATTTCAACTTACAGTCTCCAAAGTATGAAGATACTCACTGAAATGCTAAAACGGATTCCAAAGACATCAGTTGTTTATACAAATTAAGTTGCTTAAAAATGCTGCATAAATCTCTTTCTCCTTTACATATAATCTTTAGTGTAAACTGGCTAACATCTGCTTATTTAGTAAGCTATTACTTAGTGTTATTTAGTGAATAGCAAGTGGGAAAAAACAAGGATATTAATATAGGAATACAACAAAACTAATTTTAGGCTCACAAAATATATGCTACAATACAGGAGCTAGGAGAATAATCAAGAGGTTATTTTATAAATCAGCTTTAACTTGAAATAGCTTTCTTACTAAACTACTAGTACTGGGTAAGTCAACGGCCTGGGGTCTGATAATGTTTTAAAGTTTGGTACACCATCTTTCACTAGTATGTCATTTTTCAATTTTATATGCTTTTGAACTAAGTTCAACGTATTAAGGATATTAAGATAGGGCTAAATCTGGGAACTCACATTGCTTTGGAACAAACTGAGTTGTTTTGAGTCCATGACTTTGCTCTTCCCCCCAGCCTTTGGTCTTTAATGTGTCCATCTGACTTCTTTGAGAACTTAGAAACACAAAAAGTGAAGATCAGATATAAAAGGAAAATCTATCATAAGTATTCACTGTCTCTACCTGGCAAACTTCTCCAGACAAGAGTTACTGATTACCCTGAAATGTCAACTCACAAGAGAGAGATCACAATATAGCATCATCTGAGACCAGGATGAAAGGAGTCTGATCCTGATTCTAATATTCGAGCCAAGATACCTAACCTCCAGTTTCTCTACCATAAAACTGGATGTTTTCAATGCCCACAGCCACCTTGACCGAAAAATCTCAGAATGATAATACCCAAGTTAAAAGATAAAAGATTTTAAATGATATACTGAAGTGCATCCCAAAACAACACATTAGAAGCCGAATGACAAAACCAATAGTTCATACTGCTGCTTCCAACAGTGACTAGTCAAAATGGAAAAAAACAGGAACATTCTGACTGACTAAACTGAGAATTTTTTTTAAGTTCACAACCAAAGTTAAAATTTCCAAATAATCCCTTGTTATTTCTGCAATCAACAAGTTAGACAGTCTTGTGACTTTTTCAACTTATTGTTACATAATCTTCTGGGATCCCCTTCTGTGTATTCTCACACCACTTAGAATTAATTATCAAGTAGACCTCAATCCTGAGCTCACATAATCTTTGTCCCCTTTTTACAGAGAAATACAAGGCCAGACATAAATCCCTTCTACCATTCTCAACTACTTGGTGGACTCAGCACATTTAAGTAACATGCAGTCTTACAAGGAACATTTTTTATGACTTGGGGTGACTTTAGTCTCATCTGCAGAGTGGAGGGAGAGTTTCCAACTGTGCTAAGATCCATCCACTAAGATGCCTTAAGGACAATGTGTCTGTGAAGGCAGTGGCAGGAGGGATAAGGGGAGGTAAGGGAGGAAAAGGCAGGGGAGAAAAGGAGGAAAAAGGAAGACAGAGATTGTGAGAAATGTGTGTTAGGGAGGCTGAAAAAATGCTCTGCTCCCTGGGAACCCAACTTCAACCAATGATTTCACTTTTCTGTATCAGAGTTTCATGTAAGAGTGCACTTGAACAAAGGACTCTAAAGCTAACAGAAAATTATATTTTGTAAAACCACTGTTCTATATAACCATCACTAGATACAATGTTCAAATAATAGGGCTCTCAGTATTAATCTCTTTTTTCAACAAGCCCTTCCCAACAATCCCCTCTCCAAAAATAAGAAAAAAAGTTGTTTGGCAAAGCATTTATCTTGTTAGCTCATCTTTACCTTTGATGAGTTGAAGTTACAGGAGAAACAGAGTTTCCATGACCACCTTCTTTAAGTCGCTCCAATAACCTCCGGTATTTCTCTCTTTCTTCTTTTTGAACACCCTAAGTAAAAGAAAGCATTTAGATAACTACTAGCACATCAAACCTATAATCAAATCATAAACAAAGACTAAGAGGTCAAATGCAGCTCATGAATGTTTCATTCACCAGCACATTCTTTTTTTATCTCAGTGTTCTTTTAACTCCTTTAATTTTACTTACCAATTTTATAACTTGAAAAGAGAAATCCCCCCAAAATCTGGCCCCTTTTGAAACACTGTTATTAACAAACAGGAACTACTGGTGAGCTATTCACTTTAGCCCATTTCACTCATTTATATATCTGCTGGACCTTGATAGCATATGAGTTTTTGACAGTAGAACTGGGTTAACCATAAAAAAAACTCAGCACAAATAATCCACTTGCATATTCAGAACATTCAACTTCCAAAATGGAACTGCTCTTATCAAAGACATCAATGACCCTCTATGGCCAGATCTAATAGACACTCTTTCAGCCCTTCTGTCACTTGACCTCTCCAGCTTATCACCCTGCTACCCTCACTTGCCTTCCTGGACAATAAATTCTCCTACTCTCTTGAAGACTATCTTTTCAGTCTCCAGTGTAGATTATTTCTTCTTCCTGCCTTTAACTGTTGATGGTTCTGCAGATTATCTCTTCTCACACTACATTCTCTGAGTAATCTCTTCAACTCCCTTGATTTATCCAACACCAATATGCAGAAGATTCATAAATGTGTCCCTAGCCCTGTCTTCTCAAAACTCCCATCATGCATATCCAGGAGTCTAAGGGATATGCCTGCTTGCGTGTTTCACAAGCACTTTAAACTTCCAAAACTGAAGTCATCATCTTCCCCTAAACACCTAGGGTATCTTGGCACATACTTATCCAAGATTGAAATCTGGGATTCAGGTTCTTCCATCTAAACTTATATCACACTTAACCAATAAATAAGTCCTTGATAATATTACCTCACAATATTTCTAGAATACAGACTGTATATCCTCATATATATATCTTCTCAGTCCCCGACTTCTCATCTAGGAGATATTAAAGCACTTTAATACCTCTCCTTAAAACCCCCTCCAGGGCTGCGGTCCATTGCTTTTGCTGCCTACATTTTTTCTGACTACAACAGTTAATGTGTAAGCTCCGAGAGAACAGAGACAATATTTTATTCAATTCTGAGTTGCTGGGACCCAAATATGTATTTCTTTGATGAACTAAATTAAGTGGTTGAGAAAACCATTTAGCAAATTACAATAGGTGATGGTCTAGGGGAAATGCCAGAGACAGGAATAGTTCTAAATTCTCCCAAAGTAAGTGAAGACTTCAAGAAGGAAAGGAAGATTGCTGATGAACACATCATGCTAAGTGCCCTGAAAACCTAAGGGAAAAAAAGATGTACACCGTTCACATTCCTTACTTAATCACAGTTATTACAGCTTATGAAAGAAACAAGTTAGAATAATTCAGGCATCTAAAAACAAAGAAATCTATAATCATATCTTTTCCTAACATGATTCCTTTTCTTTTACCTGAAAATTGACTATAGAATATCTCTAGAAAGATACATACAAGTATCAAACAGGAGCCAGATATGGGAGGGAGAGTGGGAAATTTACAGTCCCTGTACTTATATCTTTTCAATTTTGTACCACAGAATATATACTCATCCAATTCCTAAAATTACTTTAAAGAGATCACACTAAAAGGCCTTACCTCCTCCACAGTACAATGAGGACGCCTCAGACCCTTGCAACCCTCTTCAGAAATCATCTCTGTTACAACCTGCTCCTGAGACTTCCACGTTAAAGAACTCTCTGGATTGCCTTTGCTGTGGCGACGGCCACCTGGTCTTCTAGTATAACCTTCTGAGCTCAAAGTAAAACTGAGAAAAATAAGAAAAGAAAAAACAGTTACTCCCAAACTGCTTAAATTGCTGGAGTTTAAGCTCCAGGCCATCCTGTGATTAAGCTGTCTCAGGTTAAGCTTGCTCCTGACAACTACCATTCACAAAAATCAAATCTCTGGAGCAGAGGGCACCACAGAATCTGTGATGGAATGTCTATTAAATTTAAATGTCTACTAAAATTAAAATGAGCCAGCAGGGCTGCCACAAGAAAGCCTGTGCCTTCTTCCTCATGCCCAGTTTTCCAACTCCAAATCTGGCTTCAGCTCCCTATTACACTACATACCCTCCTCTGGTACTGCACTTTTCCTTTAGTCATTTGGCACCATTGTAATTAAGTATTGGTGTGAATAATAAACTTTAAACTCCACAAAGACAGAGATTTCATCCTTTCACCACTGTATCCTGGTACATGAGCTAAGTCAAAAGGCACTCCATCAGTGTCTGCTGAATAGCAAACTAATGAACAGTAAATTAATAAATGCTAAAGAATCAGAAGCCATGAAACCCCCACCTAGTCACTGTTGCTGGGGGACAGACCCTGCCTCTCCTGACATTACCAATAATGAAACAAACTGACATCATACTACTCCAGATATGGTATTTAACAAAGGACACAACAGGGACCTCCTTGGCAGTCCAATGGTTAAGACATCAAGCTCCCACTGCAGGGGGCGTGGGCGGGATCCCTGGTTGGGGAACTAAGATCCCACATGCTTGACGGCAGGGCCAAAAAAAAAGAAAGGACACTATATCACATAGGCAGTATCTTTACCAAAAAAATTTGTATGATCTTAAAACAAATTATGAGAAAATGTCAGACAAGATTAAGAGAGATTCTATAAAAGCAATGCTTTGTACTCTTTAAAAATATTCATGCTATTACAAAGAGAGGCTGTGGGGTTGCTCTAGATTAAAGGAGATCAAACAGACATGAAAATTAAATATAATACATGATCCTGCCCTGAATTGTGGGCCAGAAAAAATAATCTCTGTAATAGAGAAATTTAAATAAGATTATATAATAGTATTACATCAATGTTAAATTTTCTGATTTTGGTAATCTGGGATTATATAAGTGAATGTCCTCATTCTTAGAAATAAACAGTCAAGTACTTATGATTAAAGGGGTATAAGTCTAAGATGTACTCTCAAATGAATCAGGAAAAAAGTATTATGTACATATAACACAGAATGATAAAGCAAACAGGCAGAATGGTAACAACTGGTGGGTCTAGGTCAAATCTATTCACCTACAGAGTTTCAGAATACATGAAGCTAAAACTAACATAACTGAATAGGAGAAATAGTCAAGTCCACAATTATAGCACGAAACATCAACACTATATTCATCAATCATTAAAAAAGTAGACAGAAAATCAGTAAGACCTATTATCAGCAAAGTAACTGATATTTATAGAACACTCCACCAACAGTAGCACAATACATTCTTCTCCATGCACACTGAATAACACCCAAACTAACATACTCTAGTACATAAACAAATGTTAACAAATTTATTTTTATTTTTCATATTTTGGCTGCACTGTACGGCATGCAGGATCTTAGTTTCCCAACCAGGGATTGAACCCATGCCGCCTGCAGTGGAAGCACAGAGTCTTAATCACTGGGACTGCCAGGGAAGTCCCAAATGTTAAAACATTTAAGAGAACTGACATCATACTAAGTATATTCTCTGACCATATGAAATTAAACTACAAATCAGTAACAGAAAAATGTCTGGAAAGGCCCAAACATGTGGAAATTAAACCATTCTATATTTCTAAATAATCACAGGTTAGAGGAAGAATTCAAATGAAGAGTAAGATGAGGAGTATAGGTAGGCCTGCTGTTTTGTAGAATTAACTTTAATTTCAGCTTAACCAGTTTTCTTGTAATTACATTCGTATTATTGATCTTTGCAGGAATACTACAGTAGGCGATGATGTCTTGCTCAGTGCAATGTATCTGGAGGCCAAGACATCAGTGTGCCCACAGTAGGTGATTTAAACTTTGTTGTTTTGGTTGTGGTGTCAGGCAGGTTTCTCCATCAAACTTTTACTTACTACCGCCAGCTTAACTGATGATCCCTGTTATTAAATCAGTTATTACTGTGATAGTTACAAGATGGTGATTTTCTAATTCCATCATTCCTTCTAAACTTACTAGTTGGCATCCAGCTTAAAGGTCTTTTCCTCTCACATTATTAACACATCTATATTCCTGTCGAATAAAGATGAAATGAATAAAATTTGATGCTTAACTGTCCCTAGATTTTGAAGCCTCCTTTAATTGCTGGCACAACATGTTCCATGATCATTTTTTATTATCTCTCCTAACCCTATAATCAGCCATTTATCCAAGTCCAGGGAGCCTTACTTTTTAAAGTTAGTGTCTCATTTTCAAACATAGGTGGATAGCCAAGGATTATCAGGTATTTGAATAAGAAAGGTAAGACCAAAATAAACCAAAGCGGGAGGAGGAATTCAAAGGAAGCAGGCAAAACAAGGAGAAGTAATTTTAAAATAATTAATAGCTTAGACAGATAAAAGTTACTGCAGTTCTGTAGTAAGAATTCAATGCTTGGAGAAAGAAAAAGTCATGGGGAGCAGGGAGGGGAGGATGCTTACAAATTAAAAACTGTGAAGCCAAAAATATACACATGCATATATGTATATGTATACACCATATGTATATATTTTTAAGGGCAAGGATAACAACAAAAGAGAATATTCAGAAAAATTATATTAGATCAATCCTTGAGGTCCAATATCCAAGCAACACAAACTCTACAAAGTGAGAACGTAGGAGAAGAAAATTACTAATAGAATAGTAATAATTCATTGCACACATGATTTCTGCACTGTCCTGGATGCTTATTATTCTTCAAAAAAAGTTTGTGAGTGACAATTCTTTTTTAAAAGGTTTTCAAGGGAATTCCCTGGCAGTCCAGTGATTAAGATGCCATGCTTTCACTGTCGAGGGCCCAGGTTTGATCCCTGGTTGGGGAACTAAGATCACACAAGCTGCACAGCATGCCTACAAATAAAAATAAAAATAATTTTTACAAAGTTTTTCAAAATTATATAGGCATATGATACAGTAGAAAAAGTAACCCATACTTGAGTACAAGTCTCTCATCAGCTATATGATTACTTGGCAAGTTACTAACCACAAAGTACTTATATTTACTAAGATTACACAATAGAATAAAAGTGAAAATGCCCAGCAAGAATGAGCACTTAAAAATTACCAAGTTTCCATTTACAGAAGGGCAGAATTAACACTTACCCAAAGGAAGGCAAGACTCTGCGTGGCTGATCTCGAGTTACTGTCACTCTGATCTTTGGATAATCACTTATTCCATTAGGAGATTTATTACCTATTTTTAAAAACCATTTGTAATTGTAAAAGAAAAACACAAAGAAACTTGTGAACAGTATGCATTAGAAAAGAAAATCCGTGAACAGTCTATACTGTAGAACTAAATATTTTATTTTTTTCAAATTCTGTTATTATCTAGCACAAATTTTGTAAAAGTTAAAGGAAAAGCAATAGCGTTTTATCCGTCTTTGCTCTCAGGTAGGGAGTAATAATTCATAGGAAAGCTTTACTAGTTTTGCTTGCTGGGGCTAACAAGAGGCATGAGGAATTCAATGATTATAAACTCTTTGTAATCTAGTTAAATTGAGTAAATTTTTAAAATTGCTTCTTCTTCTCTAGAAAACAGAAGTATTTTTAAATGAAAATCTGCTATGTTACTACATTTACCGGAAGTTTCCAATACCTGTGCGATGGTCACTATATACTTCAGCCACATTTTCTGTTGGAGCTATTACCGGGCCTTGGAGTGCAAAGAGATTAAAGCTGAAGTTGTTTAAGTCAGTAGCAGCAAAACTTAAACTGACCTGCATTCATTTGTGTGTAAAGCCTGATTTGAATCAATGTTCAATTCTGTGGGGTTTTTTGTGTGTGTTAGTCGCTCAGTCACGTCTTACCCTTTGTGACCTCATGGACTGTAGCCCGCCGGGCTCCTCTGTCCATGGGGATTCAACAGGCAAGAATACTGGAGTGGGTTGCCATGCCCTCCTCCAGGGGATCTTCCCAACCCAGGGATCCAATCCAGGTGTCCCACATTGCAGGCGGGGTTGTTGGGATTCTTTAAGTAATGTTAAATAAACAAAGAAAAAATTTGGAATTCCCAAAAACATCTCCAAGCATTTCAGATTAGAGACTGTGGATTTCTTTACACAAGACATCTGCTCTAGGAATACCTGGGCTTCTCCCAATAGGCTCTGCATACCCACAGAAACATAGTGCTAGCACTTCAGACACAACGTAAATCTGGTGTCTCCTCTATATGTCAATTTTCTGAACACAATTTCTGAACACCATCTGAACACAATTTCTCTAAAAGCTTTTTCCCTCTTTCTCTCAAACTCTACAGGCCTGTCTGTGTACCACAGATCACAGTCATCTTCAGGACTCTATCTTCTTCCTATTTTTTCCCGTCAGAGCATTTTGCATCATATATAAAATAACTACAATTCAGTTTGGGGGTCTCAGGATGATACGGAGATTCCTAATCCACAAAACTATGAGAACTGGGAACCTTAGGTTACTCCCCAATCAGATGATGTCCCTCAAAGGCAGGGTTTTATTATTTTGCTATTTTATTGTTATTTGTTTGTTACTTTGCTATTAAAGTTTTACTATTGTTATTTTGTTACTAAAGGTTTTATTATTTTGTTATTCCTGGTAATTTAGCAGAGTGCCTAACATAAAGTAAGCGCTCAGGTAACATTGTTTTTTTTCTTTTTTCTTTTTAATGAATAAGCCCTGATCTAAGTCACATTAAAGACACTGATAAAGCAAATAGGAATCATAACAGTAAATCCAAAGACAATACTACAGGAAAGCTATTGGCTTTTTAGAATGGTAGAGACTATATCTATGCTCTCATCCAAAGCCAAATCAGTGTTTTCCTTTCATATTCCCAAAACTCAGAGAAAAGAAGTGGAAGAAGGTAGGGGAAACAGAAATATTTTTGACCACCTCACCCAGTTTCAGCATGTTGTTCCAGGATCCAGAACCGGTCAGTTCAGAAGATGAGGAGTTTGAAAATACCTTGAAATCAAAAAGAATCACCTCTGTAATAACTCTTAGAATTTAAATAAGTTTTAATATGAAAAAAAACATTCTGTTGGTAATGATTTAGTTACCTTACAGAAGAAATTTCATCAATAGACCAAAGGTTTAATCTGTGAAGACTCACAAAATGACATAAAAAGTAACAATTGAAGATTCTTCACACATACTCAAATGAAAAAGCAGATGTAGAGTTGACCCTTGGTCAACAGAGTCTGAACTGCGTGGATACAATTAAATATGGATTTTTTCAATAGTAAACACTACAGTATTACACAATTACCCGTTGGGAATCCATGGATGCGAGACTTCAGACATAGTTGGATCAGGAAGGCCAACTACCGAGTTTTTGACTATGTGGAGAGGTGGGGCCCATAACCCATGCACTCTTCAGGGGTCAACTCTATTAGTAATTAGGCTCTTTATAAACATTTTTTAGATCTATAATCTCTTAACCTTTAATTACTTCATTACTATATCAAGGCTAATTAAGACATGAACATTTCAGAAAGAAGTCGTTCTACACATTAATTCATAAAAAGAGACTATTTCTAAAATTTAACTTTAATGATTAAGTACAAAAATCAGTAGCTCCAATGAAACCTTATCCTCACTGACCTCTCCTGAAGGGACCACATTCCGTGTTCCATTACAAGCAGAAGTTACCATGGGTTTTGTGGTCAGCTGGAATGGAAATCCAAACAAGCTGGCAGCATTGTACAGACTGTTTTTCACTTGATGAATAAAGCAATCTGGAAAGTGTAATATAGATTACATATACATGTAAATATAGTGTAGTTAAGCTTCAAACAAAAGAAAAATTGTATCTTAGAAAAGGCCTCCCTCAATTTTTATTAGCAGTCCTGTCTTCAACCACTGAGAGAAAAAAGTACCTGTAAAAATAATTTTTCTCATATCTGAATATCTGCAATTCCAGCATTGTGATTTTGGGGTTTTTTAGTAAAGTATCTGGGAGGCTACAAAAGCATGAAATCATCACCTAGCAAATTACATACCAATTCATACACACAATAAAGGCCTGAAATGACAACTTCCAAGCAATGCATTCCCCAGAATATATACTGTCCTAGAGAAATAAGGGCATAAGTTAGACAAGATGGAGCATAAAGCTACTAGGTATAGCAGAATTCTATAGGAAGCATTATCATTAACTCACTGATTTGTCCTTACTTTTCAGGCAAGTACCAGTACAGCTGACCTAAATAACACCTTACCTAGTGCCTATTCTATCTTGGCTACATTCAGGATGGAAATTAGTGAAGTATAAGATACGTGGTTCCTAGACAACCATGATGGAAACAAGGCTAGCCTATACTGGAGAAGATGTGATGAAAGATCTCAGGCTCATCCCTCCTTGTCACCAAAAATAAAGATTACAAACTAAGTAAGTAAATAAATAAGGGGGAGGGGTAGAGTTCAATGCTTTCCTCACTTCCTCCTTTTAGCTCACTACCCCTTTCTCACTTCCTACACTGCTGATTCGTTTTCTACAATTCCTTTTCCATTTCCTAATTAATGGTATTTAACGGTATTCTAAAGCACTAGCTTGAGTGCTTTAGAACCACATTCTGCTTCACAGAAAAATAGCCTGAAAGTGAAACAGTGAACTTTTAAACATCAAGCACTCCAGAACATACAAGATATAAAATACTTTTCAGAAAGATAAGTGAATAATTTAAACAACAAGAAAGGTGTGCTAAATAGGTAAAGCAGAATCCAATTTTAAGTAATTTGTCACTACAGAATAGTTAGAAGTACCAAAATTTGCAAATGTCTTGTTTCTCATTTTAGGAATAGGAAAGAATTTCAGGTTAACCCTCTAATAATGTTGAGGGATTACACTCTCCTGAGCTGTAAGTGGGAGAAAAAGGACTTCAGGAATTGGTATTTATCATCCAAACTGCCATCCAGACCTCAGAGGGCAGGAAGTACTTTTAACATAAATAGTGGGCACAAAATGTACTGTGATATTTTCCTACATATTTTGTCAAAATCTGAATGTACTCCAAAATTATGTCAAAAGATTTCATAGATTAAAAAAAGAGAGCAAGGTCAGAAGGTCCACTTCATCTGTAAAATGAAGATGAGACCATCTTATTTCGCTGAAACTACACTACATAGACCTCTTCAAATCCCTTTCATCTGTAAGATCATGAGTCTGAGTCTGCAATTCTAAGCTCCTCCTCATTTTCACCCTTCCTTTTCTTCTCCCCAAAGCAACCAATAGATTCATACTGTCTGATATAGTAGCCAGTATCCACAAGTGGTTACCTAAGTTTAAATTCAATTAAAATTGAGTTCAGTTCCTCAGTTTCGTAGCCCCACTTGAGGTGCTTAATAGCCATCAATGTAGAGAGTGGCCAGGACTGCTAGAGACCTTTACAAGCTCTGCCAGTAAGTATTGTCTCTCCTACCCACTGCTTCCCCCTTGGGAAGTTCCCTTCTACAGTTTCTAGTCAGAAAATCTTTATATTTTGTGGAAATCAAGGAAGGAGGGAACTTTAACATAGAAGTCCAAATAGATAACTGCCAAAATTATTGCAGGAACCTTCTCCATTATCACTATCAAATCTTTAACCATATACAGTTGTTTATTTACATTTTTCTATAAAATTGACTCTTTTTTGGCTAAACAAATAAAATTGATTCTTTTTTGGGGGGGGGGCTAAACAAATGTATTTATAAAAGGTTACTTTATATTGCTACCATTAATGTAAAGAAACCTCACTTGCCTTATGATGAAATGAAAACACAATATAAAGTTCTAGCTGGGCCTGTTAAAAAAGGGACAATTGGGTGGCGCCAGTGGTCAAGAACTCGCCTGCCAATGCAGGAGACCCCTGAGGGGAAGATCCCCTGGAGGAAGTCTTGGCAACCCACTCCAGTATTCTTGCCTGGAAAATCTCTTGGACAGAAGAGTCTGGTGGGCTACAGTCCATAGGGTCAAAAACAGTCAGATATGACTGAAGCAACTTGGCATGCACACAACATGTATTACCCAAGTTTTAAACACAAAATAGCATTAAATTAACACGTTTTCTGCTTAAAATAATCAGAAATTAAAATAACTGAAAAAGATGCAATATTTTTATTAATATGAATACTTTATAACATAATTCAGATGTTACTTAATGCTATGAATGCTGGCTCTCCTGAAATCATTTCGTGAATTATTAGCTCTCCTATGTTTGGGGAATATTGTCCTAATGAATTCAGTATAAATTCCTGTCAAAGTCTCTCTGTATTTTGAACTCTCTCTTTTGTCAACTTTTCCCCTAAGTTTTATTTGCTATTTCCTGAATTGCACAACTTTCCCATACTGTTCCCTCTGCCTAGAATGCTTTTCCTTCCTATTGTTCTCTGTTGATCCCATCTTCAAGACTCATCTCACATATTAGCTCCTTCCATCAAATATATATTGATACTCTTAACCAGAAGAAAATTGGACAGTATTTTGTTACTACCTTTCTTGTATCATTTATCATATCCTCATGGACATTAGTATTATTTATAATACTTGTCTTAAAACCCCCCACTATATAATCAGACACCCCCTACAATTTTAAGGTACATAAAATAGAGACCCTGTCATACTCATTTTCATATTTCCTGTGGAACCTAACACACTGCTTAACAGTAAGACAGGCTCATTAAGCACTCATTGGATTTAAATGAAATCTTAACACAGACAGGGCCACTCTTTACCTCATCTGGAGGTAGATTCAATTAACACGCATTTTTGAGAAAGAAAATATTACTATAGTAGTCCTCTGTGCCTTTTCCCTCTAATCTACATCTTTTACCAAATGATGTCTAGTCCTTCAGATATAGAGAAGGAAACAATCTGAGGCAACAGCTTAAACTGATTCACTCAGCTATCTGAAGACCTTTACTTTATAGGAAGATTACGAATTTTGAAGTGCACTTTCAACACAGACTCATTTATCTGGAAAAATACTTAAGTCTCTGGTAATGCTGGTTACCTCTAGAGAGGGTAACTGAGTAGAAGAGGGAGAGGAAAGAGAATTACGTTTCACTGTATGTACTTTTTATCTTTTGAATTTGTCCACACATATATTTTTCTTACTTAAAAAACTAACTTTTAAAATTAATATTTAATACCTAATCTTGGTCTTTTGGCTGGTATTTCATCAGTGTCCACTGTAGAAAACAGAGTGCTGAAAAAAAGAGAAAAGAGAGATATATATGCATATATTAATATCCACACACATGCATTTCTATAAGTAAGCTTACTATTCATACAATACACCATCTTCCATTCACTTTGTCACGAGATCCAACTGATGTTTACGATATAGTAGGCCTCTAGCATTTGAGGATGTAACACTATGGTTCAACTACATGAGAGAGATCCAAAACTCCCTATTATATAACAACTTGTAGTCTGGCTAAAATACAATCATGAAACTGACCAGAAATCACTTACCTAGTAAAGGAATATAGGTAAAAGCTTAGGACTATGTTATTTCTTTTCTTTACACAAACGATTTATGAATAATTTCCTTTTGAAAGATGACACTCCCCCCCAAGAGAAAGTAATTGTCTACTACACATAGAAGTAGGAAACACAAGATGACAAGATGCCTTAAAAGATAGTTCTCAGCCAGAAAAAGGTGTATATTTAACTACATTTTTATCATGGAAACTATATTACTAGTGATAACAAAGAATTTGGAAATTCAGGAAAATTTTTGGGCCCATGCTTCAAGAAAGTTAAAAGTTCATGGTATAATCATCTTTCTAAAGATGGACTTAAAAATGGTTCACATTTAAAAGTTATTTTAGATTAAGGATGTGTGGTAAAGAACAGGATTTTGATCTATAAGCCACTGTTTTCCTGACCAGTAGAGGTTCGCAGTAAAAATAATAAAGGACCCAGGAGAGGAAATGAACATTTCTCTATTCAATAAACAAGTAGCAACTGCCTATCCACATCAGCCTCTGCACAAGGCCCTTGGGACAAAATACATAAACACTACCCTTACATACCCTAAGCATCATTTTAGGCACTTTACAACTTGTTCTCAAATGATCCTTGTATCAACCCTACAGAAAGGTATAAAGAAAATGTTGAAACCTTGACCTCTCTGGAACACATTTTGGAATTTTTAGTCCACAACTAATTCACCAATGACCTGCATTCTTAGACTCACAGAGTAAATAATTACCTTGTTCTCTCAAGCTCCAAGAAACCACCCTCTAATGATCTTGGGGCTTAATAAATGAAGTTAGCAGTTGATCATTAAAAGTTGGGGGGGTTATGTATAGAATTGGTATGGTATTTTATTCTCTAGATTAATTCTTTTTTTTTTTTTTTTTTAAATACTGGAGTGGGTTCCATTTCCTTCTCCAGGGGATCTTCCCCACGCAGGGGTCGAACCCAGGTCTCCCGCACTGCAGGCAGAAGCTTTAACCTCTCTGCCACCAGGGAAGCCCCTCTGGATTAATTCTTAAAGAAGGTGATAGACACTATGAAACTGGACAAACCAACAGGCAAATACTAAGAACAACTTTTAGTTTCCCCCAAATTTTAACTTTACTTTTAGAGTATAGATTAGGGATCTTTTTGAAGAAATGAAGTACCTTTTTCTCATACCCTAATGCTAAAGCACAGGATCACTCTTCCTCCCTCCCCAGCAAAACACACACACACACACACGCAAAGTCTGACAGTTGCCTTCCAAACAAGACAGCTACTGTGTCTTGGTGCTAAGAGAACAGTTAAGTGTAGTCAAAACGGCTTTGCGCAAACTATGAAGTTCACTTTCCTTAACTGCACTTACTGCGCACAGATGACACTTGGGAGTGTGTTTTGTAAACAATGAGCCACACAGACACAGTATTCCTTCAACTTAAAGTTTTCAAGCTAAGAGCAGCAAAATATGATAAAAACCCCATTTGTTGACAGAAACCAGCTTGGACTCTGACAAGAAAGATATTCACCATCACCGACCACTGGCCCGTTCCATCATCAGAAGTCGCATCTGCACAGCGCAGAGGAGCAACTACGTCACTGGGCCACCCGCGACCCGCACCTCTAACGCCTCCGCCCAGCTACCTGTTTCTGCCGAGCGGGGCCTGCCTGGCTGGATCACCGCGACGCCAGCCGAACCCGGGGTGGGGGAGGGGGAGAGCCAGGCCGTGGCTCGGGCCCCTCTCCTCTCACCTGTTCGAGCGCCGCCTCTTCAGGAGGGCCCTGGCAGGGGGCACCGGCCGATCACAGAAACGGAAAATGGTGCCGAGAATCCTAACCAGCCATTTGTACATACCAGGCCCAAGCAGCAGCGGCGGCCGACACACCCCGAGACGCAAACCCCAGAGCTGTCGCCGCCGCTGCCGCCTTCGCTGCCTCGGCCACCGCCGCCACAGCTCAGTCGCCGACTTGTGACGCGATCCTAGAGCCCACAGATACAACGTCCCCAGGGCTACAGGCGGCCCCCGCGGGCCCCCGCTCCTGACGTCACCTCCTCCCGCCCGACCGGAAAGCATCTTAGCCCTCAATCTGCGCAGGCGCAGTCTAGATCTCCACCTCCCTAGTCTAGCAACCTGTAAGCCTGGTCCTGGCCCAATCGCTCACGAGATCATAAGGGCTGTGGGCGGGGCTTTCTCTTGGGCAGAGCCAGTCCTGAGGCTGCCCGCGGGACAAGGCCCACAGGTCGCACGTGAGGGCTCTCAAAGAGAGAGCGAGCGCTTCCAGGCCTGGAAACCCAAGGGGTTTATCAGTAAAAGTTTAAGTGGACGTTAATTAACAGATGTTTACCCTACTGAAAGTGAAAGTCGTTCAGTCGTGTCCGACTCTTTGTGACCCCATGGACTATACAGTCCACGGAATTCTCTAGGCCAGAATACTGGAGTGGCTAGCCTTTCCCCTTCTAATTTACCCTACCGTTTGTTTTGCACATAGTTTATGCCTGGTATTTTACACGCAGTCACCTTCATTTCTCCCAGCAACGGCAGGCGATGCGGAGCCTTGTACCCATTTCTATTTTTTACTTTTTGTGCCTATTTTTAATAAGGAAATCGAGGCATAGAGCGATTAAGTAATTACCTAAAGTCAAAGAGTGGCATAGCTGGAATTTGAACCGCGATCTGTGTACCAGCGCCAGTCCCTCGCCCTTGAGGTCTACTGGGAGAGATATGATTACAAATTACAATACAAGATAATTGGGTGTAAGTAAACTACACTTCAATTAATTTTTAAAAAGATAATTGACTGCTGTGATAAAGGTGGGTACAAAGTGCAGTAGGAACCAGAGAAAGGAAAACATTTGGCTATGGAAGTGAAGGACAGAACTCAAGGAAGGCTTCACAGAAACTTAAGGATGAAAAGTTACCTGCGGCCTACTAGTCCCCCCAGAGCTGGCAGGGAGTACTAACTACTCTCCTCTTTTTCAGAGGTCCTAGTTCTGGTTAATTATCTACAACAGAAAAAGACCCATCCTTTTTAATGGAAAAGCAAGTCCCCTCCCCCAACACTCCTGAGAATCCTCAAAAAGTTTTTATGACCTACAAAAATCCGTCTCTGTATGCACCTGATCCTTAATCTGATCCTCAATTCAGTTAAGGTCAGACTTCAGACTTGCTTGAACTTCAACATAGGCACTCCTCAGTATAGCATCATCCTTTGCTCAATAAACACTCTTCCTGGATTCTGCTGCAAGCCACCCGCTAGAGTCCCAGAACCACCAGCTACCCTCCAGTGGCTATCATCACACTGGTCTGGGGAGATGGAGGCAGTATCTAGAGGCTAGAAGCAAATTCTAAGTGTGAACACAGGCTCCTCCTTCAGTGCGTTACAGATAATGTGGGAATAAAAGGAGAATTGCAAAGCTGAAAAGATTTAGAAATGGCTATTACAAGGTACAGCATCTAGGGACTTCCCCATCCAGAGATTAAGACTTTGCTTCCAGTGCAGGGGGCACAGATTTCATACCTAGTCGGGGAACTAAGATCCTGCATGCCCCACAGTGCAGTAAAAAAAAAAAAAAAAAAAAAAGTGCAGCATCTAAAGCCTGTTGTCTCCCAAAATTTCATCTCTTCGCTCTTCTCAGCAATTTTTACATGTAACCAACAGAAGATAATTGCCCTTCTAACATTACCCCAACTCAAGTTAACTCAAAAGGAGATTACCATCGGCATTATTCTACAGGTCACTTCAGCTGTGTCCCAACTGTACATTCCACTAAAGAAGTTGGTCTTTGCTATTGCCTAACCAAGAAGACCCCTCAAGTACAGGGAAGGAATTCTCCAACACAAAAGAGCGGTCTTCATTAAAACACAAGTCAGAAAATTGCGAGCTGCTTTAGAAGAGCAGCTTCTCCCAGGTTCTGGCCACTAAGATTAGAGAAACATTGACATCAAGTCTCAGAGCAGTGTAGTACACCACCACAACACAATTTTTTTTCCTTTTCCTGCCTCTCTCCCTGCACCCCCACAAACCCAATTCTGAAATGTCAGTCTACCCTCCAGAAACAGTGGGAAGGCTATGGAATTACAAACTTTAGTCAGAATCTCAGGACCTCATCAGCAAATAGTAACTGCCAGCCCTTCCCCACACCGACAGCCCCTTGTGTCCTACTTCTCTAGCCACTCTCGAAAATGGGGAAAAGGGACTAAGCCTTACAGTCGCTTCCGCCTGGGTCTTGTCTGCCGGTTGGTGCCTCCGATGACCTGTTGTCCACAGTAGACATCTGGACCACTGCCCATCCACTGACCAAGGAGGGGGGTTATTCTTAACCCAAAGTCCACCACTGCTGCAGCCATTTCCAGACCCAGGAACTCTTCACCGGAGGCCCAGAGGAGGAGCCCAAAATCACATGCAGTAACGAAGATACTGACATTTCTGTCCTTGGTTTGGATAATGTGCACCCGTGGACCGTCAGAGGAGCTCAACCGCATTGCTTAAGGTTTCGTAAGGTTTCCTAACTGGTTACCCTAGTTTTCTAAAAAGACCTCTTCCTCCAGTGGAGATTCTCTCCTACAAGTCTTTCCATGGCCCCTCCCCCATCTTCTTCAAACCCTACCTCCCCTCCCAGAACAATGAAAACCCAGCCCTCTAATCCATTCTTTAGGCTTGCAAATTTTTCTCTGTGCCAGCCTTCTCTTGAGTGTTAAAAGATTTCTTCTACTTTGTTTCTGCTGACTCCTGTTGGAACAGAGGTCTGGCCCATATAATGGACATGGATAGGCGCCCAAAGATGAGATATTGTTAGTTTGGGCCTGATGTGCCTCAAGTCTACCATAATTCACCACCCTGAAAATTAATTTCTTTCTGCAGACCAACTCCTCTGGTACTCAAGGAAAACGTGCCCTTCTGATTCTGTGACTCTGCATGTGTGCTCAGTCGCTCTATCATGTCCAACTCTTTGCAACTCCATGGACTGTAGCCTACCAAGCTCCTCTGTCAACAGGATTTCCCAAGCAAGAATACTGGAGTGGGTTGCCACTTCCTCCTCCAGGGGATCTTCCCAACCCAGGGATAGAACCTGGATCTCTTGTGTCTCCTGCATTGGCAGGTGGATTCTTTACCCCTGTGCCACCTGGGAAGCCCAGTGTGACTTTGGTCTTATTCAACTCATCTAATAACTTTGCCCTTATTATGCTGAAAGCAAGTACAGCTTTTGTGTCCTAGATTTTGTCACAAAATTTGCTCACATTAACTGCAAATGGCTCAGCCTGCCTCATGTAGGGAAATAGTATCAGGCCCTACCTAGGCCTACTTCCCCAACTGTGAAATAGAGATCTGTCTCTCAGATCTGAAACCAAGTAGGGCCTTGTGGATCTCCCAGGGATAGAGGCCTTTCTATCTCCCCTTTCTTGTAGGGAGCCATTTCTCCAGCCATTATGACCTTCCCTGAATTCCAAAGGGCAGATTAGAACAGTTGCTAATCAAGGGAGGAGCAGCCAAGAAATCACCTGAGGCAAGACTAAAGGGACCAGAGAAGATCTTCAAGATTAGGAAACCAACCACCTGAGATTAAGGGAGTGCAGAGCCCTGTTCACACCCTAATCTTGTCAGGTGGTTTAGTCTTGCAGTCTTGTAGCCCCAAGAACTATAGTCTGCCAGGCTCCTCTGTCAATAGGATTTCCCAGGCAAGAATACTGGAGTGGGTAGCCATTTCCCTCTTCAGGGGATCTTCCAGATCCAGGGATCAAACCCTCATCTCCTGCATCTCCTGCACTATAGGCGGATTCTTGGCTGCTGAGCCACCAGGGAAGCCTATAATCTCGTTAAAGATGAGGGGGGTGGGGGGGTCTTTTTGTTTTTTTTTTAAATATTTGGCTGTATTAGGTCTTAGTTGCAGCATGAGGGATCTTGACATCAAGCATCATTGTCATGTGGGATCTCTAATTGTGGCAGTTGAGCTCCAGAGTGAGCAGGCTTAGTTGCTTCAAGTCATGTGGGATCTTAATTCCCCAATCAGGGATTGAACCCATGTCTCCTGCATTGCCAGGCAGATTCTTAACCACTGGACCACCAGGGAAGTCTTGAGACCCCACCTTTGACCCACTGTTATAAAAAGCCTCATTAAGTTCTCTGGGGTTGAAACGTAGTTTTTTGAGTCAGAAACCTGGGGTTTCTCCCTTTGCCTGCAAAGTAATAAGGCTATCCTTTTCTCCTTTTTCTTCTTTCCTGGTGGTTCAGATGGTAAAGAATCTACCTGCAGTGCAGGAGACCCAGGTTTGATCCCTGGGTCGGGAAGATCCCTGGAGGAGGAAATGGTAGCCCACTCCAGTATTCTTGCCTGAAGGAGTCCATGGACAGAGGAGTCTGATCGGCTACAGTTCACGGGGTTGCAAAGATTCAGACACGACTGAGCAACTGTAACTTTCTACTTCCCCCAAAACTCTGTCTTCCAAGATTTGATTCAGCATCGGTGTACAGAGAGGCCAGGTTTTCAGTAAGAGATCTGTGGGCGCATTAAATGTGTCTATGTATATAAAGAGGCTACTTCAATGCTCAGCATAGCTAAGTGCTTACTGTTAATAATCTCTTCCCTCTTTTTTTCTTTCTCTTAATAAGTCATTTAACTTGCCAGTTCTGCACCCTACATTTCCTACACATCTGCCCCTTCCCCTCTCCAAATGTTACCAAGGCTGTTAGCCTTCAGCTATAATCCTCCCCCTTCCTTGAGAGAACTAAGCTGCAGGGAAGTGTTATCTTACAGGAAGAAACCAGAAAAAAAAAACAAGAGCCCACCAAAATCTGTTAGAACCAACTGGGTCCAAGATGGTAGAAAGCCTCCAGTAGACCCTCCTTATATGTT